TATTAAGCATTTTTTTCCCTTTGCTGAATCTGTTATATCAGAGCTGAATACTTAAACTCATATTATGTGGTTAGTATATCAACGCACCAAAAAAAAAAAAAAAATAAAAAGTAAAAGTTACAATAAATAACAACAAAAGAGTAATCCAAATGTTTACTAATTATCATCGGTTGATTTGCCTTTCATACGAGGTTCGTTGTTTTAAATGAGAAGAGAAAAAATTTTGAGGTTGGTTTTAAACCACAGTGTTGTTTGTTCACTTTCCCAGTTCACTGATACTATTGAACAACAACGAAAGTTCTTCAATTTTAGTCTGAGCTTGATCCAATTCACTGCGCAAATTTTCCATCTTTTTTAGTTCTGCTAGCAACTCATTCTGCAAAAAATAAAAAACCCAAAAAAAAATTTGTTTTTTTGAAAAAAAAAAATTATTATAAAATTTTCTGTTCTTGTCAACTAAGCCTTATTTTTTTATCCTTTCTTTTCATCATCATCATCTTCTTCTTCTTCTGCTTCTTTCTCTTCTTTTTGGTAGCTAAATGCATTCAGAAAAAGAAAAGAAAAGAAGTCACAAAGAAGAAGTAATATGTCAATGTAATCAAAGCAATAATTTTTCTTTTCCTCCCAAACTTATCACTTTGATAAATCTTTCGTTTCAAAAGAATCTTAAGATTTTATTTGTTAATTTTTAGATTTTTTTAGCAAAAAAAAAAAAAGTTGACTTAGTTGATTGGTCTTTTGCAAATTTTTTCTTTTTTTATTTTTTAGTGTTTATCCACTTCAGTTAAGCACATCGACATTTAATTGACTACTGTTAATACTGGTAACTATAATTGTGTAAATATACTTCAAAATTGTATAACCACCAACGGTTTTATGGTTGCTTTTTTTTCCATCTCTTCTTTATTTATTTATTTATTTATTTATTTATTTATTTATTTATTTATTCATTACTTATTTTCCCCTTATTGTTTATAAAGTAAATAATTTTTACCGCAAACACAGTAAATGTACAAATGACTTCTGTACATTAAAGCCGAAACTATCAAAAAGCAAAAAATTAAAGAATTCCTTTTTTTTTTTCTTTTTTTTCCTTTGCTTCAAATTGATGTAACGACAACTAATATAATTATATGTTAGCTGTAGAATGATGATTAATGTTTTTATTCTCCTAAACCAATCGTTCACATTCATCCTTCTTAATTAAGTTCATAGCAAAAGAAAAAAATTGTTGAGTAATACAGTAATTTCTTTGCTATTCAGCTATACAGAATTTTCATATTCAAACTATCTGACAACTATGGCACTGGAAAGAAGAAGAAAGATCAAAAAACTAATAATCGCAAAAAAAAGGCACTTTTTCCTACAGATATTATTGAAATACTAACTGTAATTTATTTTTTTTCTAGAAGCATTTAAGATACTGTGACAATTTTGCTTTTTCTTTTTTCCATCAAAAAATAACCAAAAAAATAAAAAAAGGCAAGAAATTAAATAAAATTAAGCAAAAATTAATAAGCAAATATAAATTACTTCTTATTGACGTTTTTTTACTTTTTAAGTTCTTATCAAAAAAAAAAAAAAACTTTCTTAATTAAACTACTGTACTGTATAGTATATAGAATAGAAATAGTTTATGGCTGAGTGAATTAGAGAAGAAGTAAAAGCAAACAATCAAATCTGTCTTAAACTCAGTATTAGAAAGGCAAACATTTTTTTTTTTTTTTTTGAAGCTATTTGCAGATACAAAGGTTGTTTTGATATACACATAAATGAAACTATGGAAAGCCTTAGCTATCTACATATCACTTAGTTTCTGTCTGTCCAATGCTGCCCATATATTAATGATAAAGAAATTTACCAGACGATTCAGTGATTCTGACCTGCTTTGTTTTTTCCAGTTCACTTAGGCGTTGTTCTAATGTACGAAGCTCCTGTTCAGCTTTTTTAGCCCTAGAAAAAAAAATTTGTATTTTATCTAGCCAGTACGGTTCAGCAGTATGCAGAAATGCTAGGTTTACCCTGATTGAACAGAACAATCTGTTTTGCAACCAGAGAAAAACATTCAAGTTTTTTTTGTGCAAAACTTTTAAAACTTTTCCACTTCGTAAACTGCTCTGTTCAATACACCAGTTTTGTACCTGTTTTCGCTGTTGAGTGCTTCCTTCGTCAACGAATCAATTGCCTCAGCCTGAGACTCAAGGCGTTCCACATAACCAGCAATTTCTTTCTTCAGCTCGCTATTCTGTAACGTATTTCTCAACAAAATTTTAAACTTGCTTTTTGATGATTAGAAAAACATGAAATAAGACATTTCTTAAACCGTCTCTGAGAAACATTGACTGCCAACTTCTTGGGAAATTTTTATAGAAAGAAATAATTTTATAACTTTGGTAACCTCCTGTTGGATATTTGTGAATTGATCGTCCGTAGTTGTCTTAACAGTTTTGGCCTTGTCTTCTCCTCTCAACTTCTCATTTTGTAACTCGTCACACCTACAGTATTACTACGTGAATAATTTTATTCAGAAAAATCAAGCTACAAAAATGTTTTTTTTTCAACTTTGGTTACTCCAAAAATCATCGTTTCAGGTTACCTTTATAACTCTTAACACTTAAAAAAAACACTTTGAAAAATTACGATTTTAATAGTAACTTAAGAAAGCTTTATATATGCAGCAAAAATTTCTACCATTATAAGTCAAACAATTAAAAAATTTTTTGTTCATAAATTTTGTTTTAAGTTAGTTCTAAATTTAATACTGCTGCAACTATTTGCATTACTATCCGTTCAGCGATAACTATTCCTCAAGACATCGTTGACAACAGCAATGTGTCGTCAATTTTTGCTCTCATTAGGCGGTTCTTACTGCAGTAGTCTCCCAAAAGTGTCATTAGCTGTGCTTAGGTATTTGTAATCAAGCCAATAACAAGAAATATACTTTTCTTTAAGCGCTGTGTTTTCGTCAAATACTTGAGCGCATATTTCATTTAAATGTGTATTCTTCTCTGCATTTATAGACAACTCCTGCTCTAGCCGTTGATTTCGATCTTTAGTTTCCTGCAGTTCCTTATACATTTCCGCATAGCTAAGAGCATCTTTATCATCCTACAAATAACACCATATCGATAAGTCAGCAACAAATAATCTTTTATTCTTGCTTCAGTAAATACATACAATTAATGAATAACACACCTGTAATTGCCGAAGCTCTGCCAGTGGCTTAAAACTGTCAAGTTTACGCTCCAAACTGGCTTTCAAATCTAGTGCTTCAGTCAGTGATTTTGTCAGACTGTCGCATTTACACTTCACTTCTACCGCTTCAGCTTCCAAAACGCTATTTCTGAAAAATTTTTCATTTTATCAATTTCTTGTTACTGTGTTCGAAAGAATTTTTTTAAATTATAGCTTTAACGAGAAGAAAAGTAATCTTATTGTGTTTCTTATGTCGTCAGAAAATATGGCCTGTGACATTTGAGGAACTTATTACATTTGACTGATACATCGCTGACACATTTTTTAGATGTTCAATTCACTTCCATTTTCAGATCACTGAATAGAAGTGTATTTTTCAACCAAAGCTAATTATCATGTCTAAAAGACTTTCTTTGCTAAAACTATATAATTCTATGTATTATTCAGCAGCAAATAAAAGTGAATCTAAAAACAACCAACTTTTCCTGCAGTCTTTCAATTTCCTCTTTTTGCCTTTTGATCAGTTCCCTATTGCTTTCATCTTCCTTTCTTAACTCCGCTATCTGAAACGCTCAAAATTTTAACAAATAAAGCAGACTTATGAAGAAGTTCCTTCTTGAAATTGTCAAACTGTCATACATAAGTTTTTCAGAAAGTTTTAAAAATTTTGTGTTTTCTGCAAATCAGTAAAAATTAGTCGAAAACAGTGTCACAGTGATCCAAAATCTTTTTACTTGAAGCCTTCAAGCGTCTCGTTTAAAACCCACTCTACTTTCAACCTCTCCATTAAAAAAGTAAATCAAAAATCCTTTATGATTTTATTATAGAGCTTTATAGCAGAATTAAATAAACCTAGTTTGAACTGTTACATGCAACAACTTGCTTTACAGAAAAAGAGTTGCAAATAAATTGCCTAACAAGTTAATTAGACAACAAAAAGATTACCTGACGCTTCATACAGGTTTGTTCATCGCTAAGACTTTTCAACAGACTTAGTTCTTCCTCAAGATAAGTACATCGATTTTCAGCCTTTTTCAGGTCATCTAGTGCCTGTTGACAAGCACTGAAAATGAGCAATTTTTACCGCATAATTTGAGTTCTAAATCCAAATTTTTTGTTTTTTAATCTCAACCAATCAGCAAAATCTAATAAATAAGTATAAACTATTATACCATTCTTCATCTGCCAGCTTTTGCTCTAAATTTTTGATGCTTTTTTTTTGCTCCTCAATGATCATATCCTTGGCCGTTGACATGTTGGCCAAGCACGCGATTTGCTCCTCTGCGCGACTCAGTGGTTGTTTAGTCGCCATTACATCCTTACTTATGTCCTCTCTACAAACTTCCTAAAAAAAGTTAACTGAAGGTTTTCTTGATAACGTAATTGTTTGCTAAAATAAAGGTCTCATGATCTGTTATTTCTTTGTACAGAAGACAAGTGTTCAGATTAAGTTGCGCTTTACACAGTTTATCTCAAAAAATTATTGTGAAAATAAGAGGTTTAATCAAGTCACTTTCAAATGTAACTTCGAAAAATTTTTTCTGTATTTCTTCAATTGGCTAAAAAAATTAAAAAAGAGGTGTTTCTAGCTTTTACAGAAGTTGTAGAAAATTGTTGCCTTCAACTATTAGCTTTGGAAAAACTCAGGCACTGAATAGCATAACTCTATTTGCCTGCACGGTTAGGCATGTGCACTACTTCTTTTGTGTATGCTGTAACTAGAGCTAAAGCACAAAATAAAATTTATCTAATTGCTTCAGAGAACTCTCGATTACTTAAACTTTCGTTTCGTTCCTCTAATTAGCCTGGAAACTCAGAGCTCCTATCTTAAGACCACAAAAAATTTACATTGAAATAACTTGCTAATTATGCCTCTCTGTAAAGCGATTCCGAAATTCTTTGTACAGAAATCGGTTGCCCAAAAGACTCGTTCCTGAATTCATAAACGAATAAACTTTTTTTCAACGAACTAGTTCGCCCTCACTTCGCCATCCAGCAGACAATACTTTGGTATTTTAATGCAGTGTTCCTAGTAAATTCTTCGTATTCAACAAAAGCAAAAAAGCTGGTTTTTTTTTTGGTATGAACAGCAATAACGAGTAGTGTTTTGTTTTAGTGGCAACCGGAAACCAGATAAGAACAACTTGTTATTCAATTGTGCAGAAGTTTTGAAGAATTCACCAATGTTAAGCATCTAAGCAATTTACAGGCAGCTATTTCAAATTTCACTGAAGTTATACAACTCATGATTTATTTCCAACCCTACCTCTGTCATACTATCAAGCAGTTGTTTCATATTCTCCGACTTCTGACTCTCCGTAGTTCGCTTACTAGGATTGTTGTCTTTCACCTTTGAAAGGGCTAAATAAAATCACAGTTTGCAAGAAACTGCTATATTAAACTTTGTATACAATTCATATTTGCTGTCATCTCTAACCTTAAATTATTTCTGGAACTCTTAAGCATTTTGCTTTATAAAAAGTTGACGTCAAAAACTGTAACTAAACACTGTTTCTCAACAGCACATAAGTATATCATTCGACCAAACACTGTATTTGCAAAAACCATTAATTATAACTACACAACTAGTTTTTAAATGACTCAAAAAACTTTTCTGAACGAAAACTTTAATGCTTTTCATTGAAGTGAAAATTTTTTAAAACTCTGTTCTGGCGTCTAAATACTTACCAAACGGTTTTGTGTTCAGCAGCTTTTCAACAGCATTTACTGATTTTTCAAACTGTTTTGTAGCATTAACATAACTGCCAAATGGATAGTCAAACGCTTTGGCACCTGTAAATTATTTCTTTCATTTAAATCACTGCAACAATAGGTTGGTCCATTTATAAAACGACGACTTTTTTTGCTTCTTCATGCGGCCTCATTTCGTTCTACACTTTTTCGAAGTGCAGCAAATCAAAATAAAGCCCATTACTTCCTCCCTCTATTTCTTGAATTTTTGCTCATACTACTTTCAAGCTTACTTCTTCTTCTTTCGAGAGCATAAGTACAGTACAGTTTTGTTTGTTATGTGAAGTAATGAAGTGAAAGCTTCTCAAACCATATGGAAACTTCATCAAGTATTTAAACAGCAGTTTGTTATAAACAAAACGTAAAACTGAGAAAATATAAAGTTCAGGGGATTGTTCTTATACTGACAACATAAACTTTAAAAAGATAGCTGCGGCTAATACTCAATGTTAAAAACATGGACATAAGTCTAGAAGCCGCACTAAGCTTTCTATATGTAATAAAAATAACAGAGTAGCTGAAGAATTTGATGCCCAATAAACTTTCAAAGATTCTGGGTGACAGCGCATGCAGCTTTTGCTAGTACATGAATATTTACGGTTGAATTATTTTAAGGCCAGTTGCAGTGAATAATCAGTTCAATATTTAGATACTGATTAAACAGCAAATAATAACAAATCATGAAAATGGATCAGCCTCCTTACGTGATGCCAATGCAGTACCTTTCGCACTCAAGAATGGTAATTACAACATGGTGAAATATTTATGATAAACCAGGAAGCATCTCTTCGGTGTCTCTTGATTAAGCCGTCATAAAATTACTGCTCAAAATTAGAAGACATAAACGAAAATCCAAAATGAAAGCAACTAAAACTAACAAAAAAACACCAGATTATTGGTATTATTATCGGTATTATATAAGACTACACTTAACACTTTTTTGCGTACCTGCCCAGCTTGTCTTCTTAGTTTACCTTTCACTCCTTTCCTCAGTCTTTCATAAAAATTATGAGTTACTCAAGTCTGTTAAACAATTTTGCTTATTTAGTTATGTGAAATTTACTTACAAAAAATTTCTGATGTTCAAACTAAAAACTTTCAAAACAGAAAAATGATCACAAGTGACAATTCAAGAATTAAATATCGTAGACGTCAAGTGGCTTGAGCAGTTAATCATTTATGTTGAAGTTTAAAAACTGGCTTTATGCTTCTAAAAACCATCATTACTGATGCAGTCCTTAGCAGTCAACTTGGTTTACTTATATTAAAGACCATAAAATATGACAACCCTTACAGAAATTGTTCATTTTTTGGTTATTGCTCCAGAGATCCTCTGATCAGTAAAAAATTAAAAAATGTCATTGTTCAAGCGACTTCATCTACTCTATTAGAAATGAAAACAACAGTAGACGTTAACATGCTCTCATGCTGCTGTAGTGGTTAACAATTAGCGAATATAGTTGCAATTAGTAGCCCAAGAAAAGATTTTCAATGAATAATTTAAAAAAGTCGTTTTATCTCGCCTCTTTTGCGAATAAACTGTTAGTTAAATATATTTTACATTTTCTACCTACTGCAGTGTTAAACTGACTTTGGTGTATTCAAAAAAGCAAATTTAGCGCGACGTTTTGCTTACTTCTTCCACCAGTTCTGTATCAGAATAAATTTGACTTCTTTCAAATAAAAGAGTTGACTTTCCCCGTCTTATCAATCCCCTTCAAAAAAACTTGTAATAATTACGAAAATTCTAAAATAGACAGTAGACGAAGTTCTCTTACAGTAGAGACCTTGTCTAAATCGTCTCCAAAGGATTTTGGTGATGAGTGTTTAATGAGACTGCTTGCCTTACTTACTGACCTAAAAATGCAGCTCCCAACAGTGGTTTCTCCCATAGTTCGTAGCGCCAAGTCCTCGATCCACCAGCCAAGAGCAAATATTTAAACCACAGAACATTTAGTTAATTTCTTAAGAGGTTGCAGGTTTAAGTTAATCATATTTTAAATTACTTAATAGACAGTCTCATTCGACAGATAGCCCTATACCTGAGCAATTCTTCTCAAACTTAATTTTTAAAATCAAAAGTTTCACCTGGCATCACTTGAAACCGTATAAAGCTAAAGAAAGCTTAATTTGTGACTCTTGTTCTTTCGAAAAAGTTTTGAAAACAGCAGCATTTAAAAAGAAATTTGAACTAAGTGGTATGTCCACAGCTCTAAAAGCTATATTCATGAGGTAGTTCAATTCAGGAGTAGGAAAAAAACTTAGCATTTCTAAAGCTCTTTTTCGGTTCTATATAATTATAATGTACCAACTGCACAAATTAAGAAAAACAACATCTGTTTGAATATATCCTTCAAGATGAGATTAAAAAGACGACTGAAATTCTCCACAGCAGAGCAACACGTAAGTAATGTTATACCTTTTAAAAGTTCTAGATCTTCCGTATCATTCTGCAATTTTCTGAACCACCTAATATTTCACAATTTAATTTCACACTATTTTTGAAAGACTTTGCTTTTTAGTGTTTGATTTTTTATCTGTAACCCATAGAATTATAAAGTCCGAAAAAATACAATGAAAGAACTAAAGTTATTTGGAAAAATTATTTCTTATTGTCTTCTTGCCCTTTATTCTGCGGGGGTTTTACTGCACAAGTAAATATCAAAAAAAAATCTACGTTCATCCACTTTCTAAAAATTGAAAATTGACCTACATATGATTCCGGTTTGTCAGACAACTGGTTCGTCAAACAGCTTCGGAAATTTCTGTTTTGATTTTTATTATTAAACATAATAACTCACAGAGTCCCTTTACCGCTGTAAAATAATAACTATTTTTAAATGATGACCTACCTTTTGAAAAATTATACTTCATTACCTCTGGGTTTCTTCCAAGTCTTTCTTATAAATCCAAAAATATCAAGCATGGCTAGACCTGACGATCTACTTTACTTTTCTCAGTTCAACCTTCAACTGACAGCATTTACAATACAGTCAGTCTCTTTATTGCCACAAAATAGTACGTCATTTAGGGTACTTTTAGATTAGGTAAGCCAAGAACTGAATAATAAATTAAAGAGACAATAAACCTAAACTAGCGTAGTACCGCCGATTCTGCCAGCCATCATTTGGCGGATACAGCTTTTTCCCATCAAATTTGAGAGACTTTTTACAGTCCAATTTGAAATAAATTCCTGAAGCCCCTGGCAATGCGGACTGCAACGATGTTATCAGTAAACTCCCATCATTTTCCAATTCCAGGTCTACTGGTTCGATATATACCCGAACTGCCTTTCTGACTGAAATGACAGTAAGTGTCACAGATGCGATGTTAGGGTGTGACAAACACAAGCAAAAGATAATCTCTGAGTTTTTACAGTGATGTTGTTATTCCGTTAATTTGCTGAAGTTACTCTTCGTCTACTCAATGCAGGGAGTTTTTAAACGTAAAATATTTTCAAAGACTAATATTGTTTGAAAAGTTTTGTTTAAAGGAACAGTAAAGGTGAGAGGGAAAAAGGGCTATTGGTGCAGACAGATACATCTGCTGTTTCTGTACTGCAATGTAGTTATTGATTCCGAATGGCAATCAAAGACGTTTTTACCGAACAGATATTAACCATTTTTTTGTTTCACAAAAATTGGGGTATTCCTTTACTCTTAACGTATAAATCACGCATTCAAAAAAGAAAAAAAAAGATTTCTAAGAGCAAAAAAGGTTAACAAGAAGTAATACATGTTTGGTAAAAAAACGAATGGAATTTGGTGCCAATGAACGATATTATATTTCTGAAAAAATAAAAACTGGTAGCTTTCCAATTCCTTAACTAACGTCTAATTGTCTGCATATATAATTCGTGACATAGAACCTCCCATCCCACCTGAGCAACTTTTCCTGTATGACTGGCTCAGCCGCAGTAAAAAATATATAATCAAATTTAACTACAAAACAACTAATTTGATGTGAGGAAAAAAGGGGATGAAAGTTTACCTTCATTTAAACAGTCGCTCATCAGAGTTTAGGAAAAAAAAGAAGTATATTTCCCTTTTTTTCTCTTGAAAGGCGACGGAGAGCTAAGGGTGAATAAACGCTGTTACAGAACGTCGAGAGAAAATTAGACAGGAGTTGATGATCTAGCAGAAGAGCGATGGTTGTTATCGGAAGAGGGCAAGCAAAACCTGCAACGGGCGCACAGAATGAGAGCGTAAAGTTTATTGCCAATTCGACGCACTTTCAACGGTTTGTTCTCCACGTTAAGTGCTTCGTTACTGTGCCATAACAACGAACATTTTTTACATATAATTTTTCCTTTTTTTCTTGGTCTTTTCACTGTTGCATTTTGATAATTGCAGCTCAACTGCTCACCAGTCTCAAATTTACTTGCTTCATTTACAATCTTTCTTTCACTCAGATTAGCATCCCGACAGTTCATATATAATATACCCAAGGATTTCAAGCTTATTCACTGCTGCTGACAGGTAAATCTAGCGGAGTCATCCTACATGGATATATATATATATATATATATATATATATATATATATAGTTTATATATATATATATATATATATATATATATATATATATTATATATATATATATATATATATATATATATATATATATAGGCCGCTTTTAGCTGTTTAGTTAGAATTTAGCTGGAAATGTAAACATCGCATTACAAAGTACCAAAATGGTTAAAACTGTTGGCAACTGCAAGTCACGCAGCAAAAAGCTCTTATTTCTTTAGTTTTTTTTCTCTGACTTAGAGTTTTAAACCCTTGATGATCGTCCAACTGTTCCTACTGGATTGCATTGAACATTAAAATAGTCAGCAAATTTCTTCATTACTATTTTTTATGACTAGTATTTTAAAAACTGAACTGCACGCAACGCTACAGCAAATCAGAAAACTCAAAAGACTAGTGTTTTTCAACGATGATAACAAAAGTATATATGTATATTAAGTTGGTGTAGTTTGCTACGCAAGACTGTAACTAAAGAAAATTTGCCCAGACCCTAATTCTTTGCCTTGTTTTTCTCTATACCTCGTGACAACCGAAAATAAGTTATTTCCTAGTTTTATACAATAACATCATTCCCTTATAGTTCTAATACAACGCATTCTTTCATTGTGTCATATGCACTCTCACTGAGTGGAAATAAATTTATCACTTTCATACATGGCTGAAGTTATGTTTATAAGGTTCAGTGGTGTCTTCTTTCTTGGCTTCAAGAAGCTTCTTTCGTTTTTGATTGTGATTAACTGACCGTTACACCACAAACGTGAAACTTGAAGATTACTAGAAAAACATTTAGAAAAAAAACTAGTAAAAGTCCTCCACTACCAACTTTTTGAATAAAATAATTAAGCAAAGAAAAGGACTCATCGATTACGGGTTACAAGTTATTGTTAAGGGGACTGATTTATGAGTACAATAATGTGTGAAGAAGTCAGCCACAGCGAGGAAGAGTTTGAGACGTCTGGCCAGAAGACCTCCGTCGTAAGGAGTGGAAAGAGAATGCGATAGTTGTTTAGTAGTAAAGCTTATTTCTCATCCATGCATTTTCTTTCTTTGAGTTTTTATGTGTGTAAATTTTTGCGTATGCATGATTCTCCTTTTATATTTTTAGAAACGCTCACTGTTTAGGTCATAAAATTTAGTTGTCGTACAAACACTACGAAGGAAGTCGAGTGCTACTAACGCAGAGCAGTAAAGTAAAAATTTTTTCATGCCCAAAAAATAAAAGTGCTCAGAACTATATAATTCTAAACTGTTCTTTGGCGTGATCGGCGTAGTACACTTAAATGGTCAGCTAAAATTTTGAATGCACATGTGATAGAGGCAACGAATCATTTAAAATATCAAACGAGAAAAATTGCATGAAAAAGTTTCTTACATCTTTCACGATTCGAATAATAATGCTATAGGCAACCAATTTCTCAATAAAATATTCAGATGCTTCCTTCCTTAAACAGATTTTCTCCTAACAGAGGGACTGCATCTTATCAGAACTCTAGAGCTTTTCTTGCAAGAGCTTTTCTCCACAGAGAGAAAGTAGAGTAAAATAACGGTTAATGATCAAATGAGAAAATTAATGATTTTCACCCTCACTGTAAAATGAACTTTGTCAATGCCAGCTCAAACTAGCTGACAGTAGTACTCAAAGATTTCTGAAAGCTGTATAAGGATAATACTGGGATAACAGTTTTGACGTTCTACCTCTAATAGCACAAACATTCAGCAACTGTCGCTTATTTAGTGGAATTCTTTCAAGAAAATTAACTTAGCAGTCGCTGTCATTTTAACGACCATAATTGTTTTCAGAGAATTCCCGAACTGCAGTAACTTCATTCAGAAAAAAAAAAA